GAAATAACAATAACACGAAGAAGGAGAACAAAAATAATAAACAAAACAAAAAAAAAGTAAATAAATCTTACTATTTCTCTCAGTCTTCTCCTCTCCCTCCCCTATCTGTTTCTCTCCCTCCTCTTCCCCCCCCCCCTCTCTCTCTCTCTTTCTCTGTGTGTGTGTCTGTCTGTCTTTAAATATATACATATATATATTTATATAAAGTATCGAAACAAATACTCTTGAGTATTGCACTGACATACATAAATATATATGTGTCTCTGCTTGTGTGTGGGTGTATATATATATATATATATATATATATATATATATATATTATATATATAAGTATATATATATATATATATTTATATATGTATATATATATATATATATATATATATATATATATATATATATATATTTATATATATATATATATATTTGAAAAGACGCTGACTTTGCCTATTGCTGTTGTATTGATCGGAATGTAGAAATCAGGGTAGATCTCTTTAAGATACCAGTCGAACGATCGACATTTTAGCTTTTCTCTAAGAGCTTTCCTCTCACTGATGTCTCCGATATCCAGTGGCTGTCAAGTAGAAGAGAAAGAGATATTTCCTGAATTGAAATTAAAACAAATATGAATCAATAATTAGACTGTTTAGAATAACCAGCTATGAAAAGGAAAACGATGATGCTATGCATGTGCTGTTGAAAAAAGGTAATCGTTAGAAAGATAGAATTACATAAAGACATGAATTAACCGAAAATATTATTCTCCTTCTTCTTCCTCTTTTCTTCTTCTTCGTCTTCTTCTTCTTCTTCTTCTTCTTCTTCTTCTTCTTCTTCTTCTTCTTCTTCTTCTTCTTCTTCTTCTTCTTCTTCTTCTTCTTCTTCTTCTTCTTCTTCTTCTTCTTCTTCTTCTTCTTCTTCTTCTTCTTCTTCTTCTTCTTCTTCTTCTTCTTCTTCTTCTTCTGCCTTCTTTCCTTCTTTCTACGGTGTCATTCTATCCTTTCTTGTTGCATGCGGCTCTCCCATGCCTCCCCTCTCTTTTTAACTCCACTCTCTAGCTCCTCTCTCCGTGTGTTTTTCGTCTTCATTTATTGCTGTTTCTCTGTGGGTTCCAGTGAAACGCATTCTAGTTATATTATTTTCACGTTTTGTCAACGTGTGTCCTATCAAACGCCAGCGCCATCATTTTTCACCTCTTGATCCATTTGAACTAAGTTATCTCCCAAAGCTCTACATGAGTGATTCTATAATACCATTTGATTCCCTCTAGTCGGCGAAAGCAACAATTAATGAAGGTATGTAGTTTATTAGCAATCGCCTTAATTGCTTAGAGACAATTGCTTTAGCCACCGACTAGTACATTCACTTGCCAGAAAGATAGCAATGACAAACTACCTTCTTCAAATATTCCCCAGAAACCATATAAGCCATGAAAGAAAACATAATAAGAAAGAGATCTGGTATCGAGATCCCCAGGCCAGGTTGGTCAGATAACACTGGGGAAGAATGTAATACAGGGACCAATACTAGTAATCGTCATGACGGAGTTAATCCTGGCTGTGTTACCAAGGAATCCCTTGTCAGACTAAAGAAGAGAGTGAGAATAGGAACGTAGAATGTGAGAAGTTTGTATGAAGGAAAGCTTAAATTAGAATGTGTTGAGATTGAGAGATTAAAGACCCACGTTTTAGGAATTAGTGAACATCGCTGGATAGGCAAATAACATTTTACACATCGCTGGAGAGGCGAAGGACATTTTACACATCACTGGAGAGGCGAAGGACATTTTACACATCGCTGAAGTGGCAAAGGACATTTTACAACTGAAAATGGAAGTCTCTTCAAATATTCTGGTAGAGATGCCAAAGGCCAGAGTTGAGTGGCATTTTTGTTTTGATAAAACAGCTGCAGGTACTTCAGTAGGATATAACCCAGCTAGTGACAGTATCCTCACTATCAGACTTTAAGGCCGTCCAGAAACATTACTCTCAAACAGATATACACACCTACTTCGACAGCAGAGGATAGAACTGAAGATGTTTACACCACCCTGTAAGACATATTAAATAAGATTGGTCATAACGATATAACAATAATAATGGGATATTTTAATGCCAAAGTAGGTACAGGGAAAACTGAAAAGAAGAGACAGGCTTTAGGAAAATTTGGATTTTGAAATAGAAATGATGCAGTGACAAACTAATAATTTTGCACAGAAAATGAGTTAACGATGGCCAAAACATTTTTTAAACCAAACTCAAGAAGACTCTTCACGTGGAAGTCTCCGGACAGTATTACTAAAAACTAGATAGATAATATTGTAATACAAAGGAGATAGAGATCAAGCATAACATCTGCAAAAACCGTACGAAGTGCAGACTGTGATACAGATCCTCAGTTATTAGAAGCAGATCTGAATTTAAAACTCAAAAAAGCTTATCAGAGGACCAAGGTCACTTCGTTTTGAGATCACAAAAATACCAGATGCATACATGTAGAAGTGAGGAATCATTTTGGGGTCTTGATGTCTGTACAAGAGGAAATGACACCCCATGGACTGACAGTACACGCTAGAGATATTTTGATAACGGCAGCCAAATATTTTATTCCGACCAGGAATTAGCCACATAAGCCAAGGATTATATCAGACACGTTATAATTATCAAAACAACGATAGAAACTGAAAGAGAAAGAAGGTGAATCTGATAACAGCAAGATGAAATATAAATTTTTAATCCGAGAAATAAAAAAGAACACAAGAAAGGACAAAAACCAATGTATACATGATTTATGTATTAAATATAGCAATATCATAAGAATGGAAGAGATTCCGAAATGTTCAGAGAAATAAGGTTATATTGACAAGAAATGTTCAACCTCGATTAAATGTTATGTGTGACAAGTTGGGAAATGACTTGACAGAACCTTTACAAATTCAAGAAAGATGGCAGGAATACTGCAGTGCAATGTATGATATGAATGACTATGAGGAAATAAATGATATTCATGAACCAATGACAGCAGAGACGGAAACTGAACCCGCAGTAGATGAAATTGCATGGGTGGTAAAGAACTTGAAGAATGGTAAATCACGAGGATGTGATGAGATACCAGTTATACTAATTAAAGCAGGAGGGAAAGAAAGGATACAAATCTATCTGGCATTATGTAAAAAGATATGGAAATATCCTATTTTGCCAAATGATTGGAAGAGAACTATCTTCTTTCCAATTTTAAAAAAAGGCAGCCTGAAATTATGCTGTTGCCCTGATCAGTCATGCAAGTAAAATTCTACTAAAAATCATACTGGAAAGACCTCATAAGAAAATGGAAGAAGAGATCAGCGTGGCTCGAACTGGATCAATACAAGAAAAAATAACAAGAGATCACACATCACATCGTCAATATGCGTTTGATAATAAAGAAGTCCAGCGATTTTAATGTAAACCTTTTCTATTGATTATTTAAAGGCATTTGATTGTGAACAGCGTAAAAGACTTTGGGAAATCATGAGAAATATGGGTTCTCCATCTCATGTAGTACACCTCAGAATATTACTCTGTCTAAACCAACAAGCAGCGGTGAGAAAAGATGGCTAGACATCGGACTGGTTTGACATCAAGCAAGGAGTCAGTCAAGGCTGTGTGCTGTCATCCTATTTCTTTAACATTTACACAGAAAATGTAATGAGAAATGTCGGAGGTAATAGAACCAGAGGGCAGTATGACGCCTTAAAGATCGGTGTCATAAAATAACAGAGGTCTGATACGCCGATGATTAGTGTTACTATCCGCATGGCAGACCGATATATAAAAACTAATAACCTCAACCCAAAGAAATACTGAAAATCACAACTTACATCTAAACATAGCAATAACAGAGGTAATGCACACATATACAACTACTACGGAGAAAGAAAAGTATGTTAATGAGGAAATATTGAAGGTTGTGGACAATTTTGAATATCTTGGGTCAGTGATTACCAACAATGGTGACACAATTAAAATAAATTAAACTACCAGTTGCTTTTCAAAGACAAAAACAACTGCATACATTATGGAGTGGGGCGGGCAGTACTATGCAAATAAGATTTCTAAGATCATGCATGTTTCCTTTTGCAACATACGCCGGTGAGACCTTGACACATGCTAAACGCTCTGAAATCCAGAGAAATTTGACTAAAAAGCTCAACAAAATGGGAAAGAGGAAAACGTGCACAAAACAACAACAAAACTACGTTTCGGCCGGGCAGCCTTTTTCAAACACAAGTGAAATACACAAACAAGGAATGGAGAGTATGTAGATCTCTTTCGTTGTTTTGATAACAAATATTATTGACGGGTTCTGCGAATAGTATGAGGAATGTTACGATAACTACAACAGTATGTTTAATATCAAGTTGTGTGCTCAGTTCCTCTACTTTAGAGCTTTCCAAACGTTACATGTTGTACTCAACATACGCCTGTGAGACCTGAACACTTACCAAACGCGCTGAACAGTGATATATGTTGGTCACTTGAAACGTCACGAAAGTTAAATGAGAACAATAATGGAGGGGTATATGCCTGGTAAGAGAGGAAGAGGAACGCCAAAGAAAAGATGGGTGCAGAAAGTGGCCTTTGATCTCTAGATGGGTCTATCCGACGTGGGAAATCTTGCTTGTAATTGAGAAGTTTTCCAAAGGGTTGTTAGGGGAGCAAAGCTCTGCAAAGGACATGCCCCTGACTGAATGACTGACTTAGTTGCTCTACAGGTCTCCACTGCACACAAAAGTACTTATTTGACATTAGATAAATGTTTAGTATTAGTTTCAATTTCTTACTTTCGACTCCTACTAATTTCCTTGTGATATGAAAGCTCTTCCTATCTTTTGTAATATTTTAATATCTCTGTTTGTTGCCTCATCTGTGACCGCATAACTTCCTCAATAGGCGTACCACTCCACGTCTTCGGGTGGGATACCATTAAGAATGCCACTAAAAGGAATAATATAGAGGAAAAGA